GCCCACCCGCCCGCCCGCCGGCCCGCCCGCCCGCCCGCACGCACTCACGCACGCACGCCCGCACGCCCGCACGCACGCACGCCCGCACGCCCGCCGCGCGCACGCACGCACGCACGCACCCACCCACCCACCCACCCCACCCACACACACCCACAGACACACACACAGACACACACGCACACACACACACACACACAAACACAAACACACCCACCCACCCACCCACCCACCCACCCACCCACCCACCCACCCACCCGCCCGCACGCACGCACACACACACACACACACATTGACACACATACACTCATACACACAAACAAACACACTTTGTGCCATCCCATGAGCCACTGTCTCCCCATCTTTGGAACCCCTGTCCTGTCCCAGCTCTTTCTGCAATTCTTGTCCTTCCTGGGCGGATTAGCATGATTGTCCTGCTTGGAGGAAATTGCCATTGGGTGAATTCGTTCCGATCAATCAACCCGGCTTCCGCGCGGTGGCACAAATCCTTGGCAAGACGGCACCAAGGATGCTTTTGGTGGCAGAAATGTTGCGCAGGGCAAGGAATTGCTTGGCGTTCGGGAATGAAATTCGCCTGATTCTACTCCACCATACATCCCCAACATCACCACCTGGTCCTGATAAAATTAATTCCCAATGCTACATCAGTCACTCGACGTGGGCACAAAAGCGCCTGACATTCAACCTACCAAAGTTGTTTGTTAACACACCTATTGATCGAAACATCCATCCGGGTTCATTAAAGTGACATCCTCAAAATTACTGTCTCTAAACAGGGTTTCAAGGGAAGCCACCACACAAAAAGTGTTTTCGATAACCCCGCCAGACTGCAAACTTTGATTGACCCAGAACATTCCCCCTTTCTCAACTGAGGAGCCGCTCGCGCATTCAGGAACAACAAGAGGGGGGTCTCGCCGCATCTATTCTCCAAAGTCCTCGGCAGAAAAAGCGCCTCACGGCGGCTGCCAATCCCGCAAAAGGCAGTGCGTGGTTTTGAATGATTTATCTCCCGTTCTGGCAAGTTGACTTGTATTGTTAGGGAAATAGTCAACTCTATGACACTCCTGCAATTGACTGGCCAATCGACGACACGCAAAAACATGCTGAACTGTTGAGCACGGAACACTCGTACATAGGATTGGCATTGGGCGCATCAATCTTGGGACCTAACAGGTAAAACAAAAAAATACACCACTGCGAAGTTCGAAGATAACCAACTGGTTGACGCGGAAGCGGGAAATGCCAACCCATGCTGTCACGGCAGTCTCCAACTTCTTGATCTCACGCTCCCTGCAAATGGCGTGCCCGGAACTCTTGCTGACTGAGCTTTCAACTGCGCTCATGTTGACCGTTGCGAGGGGCTCTCACCATCCGAAACGTACCTTTTGTCAAGCAGGCAGGGGTTGCAGGAATGGTAAGTCCAGTGGGGCTGTTTACTTTGTTGAGGGTACTCTTTTTGGGATCCTTTTGAAGTGAAACCAACTGGACACTGCCCAGTTTGCGGGAAAAGGAGTTTTGCCTCCAAATAAAAAGACCCCCCCCCCCAATGGCCCCAATGGCTGGCTTCCTTTTGGTTTCCCAGCCGACCCAAAACTCCAGGGGTTGATTCCCCATTCTTTTCAATCATCGTTCTTGTCAAAAACCTGCCGTTTTCCCTTGGTTTCTGCAGGTTTTCTGGAAAGATCCGGACTTTTGGAAAGAATGGAATTGGAAGGTAGCTCTAGAAAACGGTACCCCCCCATCCCCCACCCCCAACCCCCGCCCCTCCCGGGCGCGGCACGGGTCTCCCCGGCTCTCCACCAGAAGCTGAAGAACTGCCTGGTGTCCACTGCGTGCAGCCCGGTGAAGGGCAGTCTCACACCTCAGCACTTCCATTTGCTGAGCTAACACCCCCGGAGGAAAAACACATATATATACACAACAACTTAAGCAAATGGAAGCATCCCCAAAGCCGAAAGCATTTTCAGCACCCTCCCAAAATAAGCTGCAGCCTGCACTGGGGTCCCTGGAAGACCACAATGTTTTGTTTTGCTTTTGTGGGTTCTGGGAGGGCGGCTATTGGGTATTCGTCAAAATCGTGGACGTCACAGGGGCTTTGGAGCATTCATAGGCCTTCCATATTCACGCGGACTAAACACCCTCGGCATCACCGAACCGGTTCTCCATGGTGAGCTCTAACCTCAAAGCGTCTCTCACGTCTCTGGCCCTTTTAATTCTGGGACGGCCTCTATGAAACCAGCTACATGTGGGGTAGGTTGAACATCTTTTCACCCCTTCATTTTTTTCTGTGCATCTGTAAATCCTGAGAACCTTGTCAAAAGGAAGAGCCTGCGACCAGATTTTAGATTCTTGCCCAGCATTTTCTCATAGAATGACCCCTGTGCACACCAGCACTAGCAACACTGCCAGCATTGCCAGCTTCACCAGCATTACGTGGCTCCTTGGCTTTTCGGCTTCTCGGTATTTTGGCTTCTCGGATTCTCGGCTTCTAGGTAGGTTCCTTTCCTTTTCGGCCACTTGGCTTGGCTTTCTGGCTTCTTAGCCCTTTTGGCTTCTTGTTTTCTCGGCTTCTTGACGTTCATTTGTGCTTCTGTAACCATTTGGCTTTGTGGCTTTGTGGCTTTGTGGCTTTGTGGATTCTTGGCTCTCAGAATTTGGCGGTGTAACTGAGTAGGTTTCTTGGTGTTTAAGCTTCTAAGCTTCTTGCTTGCTTGGCATTTGGGCTTGTTTGCTTGCTTTGGTTTTCGAATTTGGCATCGCGTGTCCTTTCTAGCACTTTAGCTTCTTCGCTTGTTGATTTCGGAGGTGTTGCTTTGTGCGGTCCTTCGGCCAGAGCGAGCCATGATGAGCTATCTAAGTGTTCAACCAATATCGTTTAACAACCAAAATGCGGAGCCCAGATGCTTGCGGATTGCGCAAAGCAACTTTAAGCTGGACATCTTGCAGCAAATCAACCAAACTAGCCTGAACGCCCCAAAACCTATGAACACAAGATGCCAAATTCGAATAACAAAGCAAAACAAATAAGCCAAAGAAGCCAAACAACCAAGATGCTAAAAAGCTAAGAAACATGACAAGCAAGATAGTCTGGAAGCCGATAAACCAAGAAGCTAAGAAACCACGAAGCCAAAAAGCCAGGGAGCCAACACAAAAAGCACAAAGACGCCAGAGCCAAAAAACACATCCCCGCTCACTTGCGAGTTGCTGCCAGAAATTGAGCACATCCTCCGTCATAGCTACAGTGGAGCGCATGGCACCGTAGTTCACGGAGGCACGCACCTCCAGCAACTTCTGCACTACCTGCGGACGGAATCCTTGCGCCTTGCTCCTCACCTGTGCGTTCAATCCCTCACCTCTGCCAAAACAACTATCCCATGGAAAGTATATCTATGAGGGTGTGAGAAGTAAGTCACATGCGGGAAAAAAGAGAGAGAAAAGGCAAAAATGTAGTTGCGTCTCATTTTTCAAACGGGAGATTTCCAAAAGTATCACAGAGGCTGGATCCCTCCCCCTCTTTTTTTCAAGGGGAAGATTCCCAAAAGCATCACCGTGGCCCTTTTGCCAAGGGGGAGATTCCCTTGCATCAGTGGGGATAAACCCCTTGCGCTCCCCCACAACCCTGAAGTCTCCTCCCGCCCAATCTCGCGCCTCCAAGTGCCCTTCGCCGGCCGCCTCCATCAATGGCGAGCCCCTCGAGCGGTCCCGGTTCACATCTGCACCCGCCTGCGGCGAAGAACCCGAAGGTAAGGGACCAGTTCTCAGCTTCCAACAGGAAAAAATGGTTGGTGGAAGGACCGCTTACGCGGAGACAATGGTGGGTGGAAGGAGGTGTTCCGTTCACTTCCGATCGAGTGGATTGGCCCAAGAAAGTAACCAAACTGGCTATTCACCACGAAAAAAATATTCTCAACTGTTTCAAGTCCAACAACTCAGGGAGTGAGTTACCATGGACGCTTTGCAAGAGGTCTAAAAAAACTCAGAACCGACAGTTGCAAACCGAGGGCTCACCAGTGGGATCCCCTCAATGGGAAGTATGGCAAGTCTGACAAAACTTGGAAACTAAAAGACCTGTGAATCAGGAAGGTCGTAAGGTTTGTCACAGTAGCAGCCCAAGTCTTTCTCCTTGCAAGTTGTTTCTGGCGATTTCTCAGTTGAAGCTTCTCCGCGCTTGCGCTTCTCTGTGCACGTTCCTCTCTGCAAGTTTATGTGATTCTCTGAGCAAGTCTCTGCGAAAGCTCACTCTCCGAGCTTTCCACTCAAGTTCTGTGCGCAAGCTTCTCTGCACAAGCTTCTTGCTCGCACAAAGAACTTGCGCAGAGAAATGGGGCCCCGGGGCTGGCGACGTCATTTTGCGCGACATGACATCCGAGCAGCAGGGCCTCGCACACCTCTCCTCTTTGGGTCTTCACCCAGCTGTTCAGTGACCCTAGCAAATTGAAGAGCCCCTTTTTGGGCCTGACCATTCTCAGAGGGGAAGCAAAAGCGAAAAGGGTGCCACTAAGCAACTGGATTCACTACATGATCATGAATGTGCATCAGGCCTGCGCAAACCTTCCAGCGTTGCTGGGCACATGATATCACTTCGGAAGCTAATTGTGATCGATGGCTTGGAATCATTCTATACGTTGGTTGTCACAATTACTCTTTAAGGAAGTGGCGTATGCAGTTGTCTTGTAGATTGTTAAAAATACAGGCGAACTTGAATATGACAAATAATTGGGCACGAAATCAAACAAGGATGCCAGCAAGTACGCAACTATGAGAACCTGTCACAACCACCGCGTACAAGAAGTCCCGGAAGACAAGGCACGGGAAACACCATCAGCAGGACTTCCCGGTGTCAAACAATACTTCCCTGGGCTGTCCTCAGATCCGCCGCTTGAAGTTTAACTTTTAGTGGGTTAAACGGAAATCCCCACTAAACACTAAAAGGCAAAAAAGCTAAGGGAATGGCTGGGAAACACCAAGTTCAAAGATAATGTGTGTAGCCAAGCTTTCCACGCAGTAAGGCCAGTGACTTCCGCATGCATTTGTTTTAAGCAGTCTTTCTGCACTACACCAAGACAGCCGAGTGGAATCTGTGCAATGCTGGCAACGCCAACCAACGCCACCCTAGTCTATCGTGCAACTCACGAACCGAGTTCACCCATAGCAACATTCATCCACAGGACGAGTTATCGACCATCTTAATACCGGGCTTTGATTATCCCTGTTCTTCTCAGCTTAAGAGGTGTGTTTCTGGTGTGCTTTGTTCGGCAACCGCTTCTGTGCCATGTTTTGCTTTTGGGTGTAGAACATACAAATAACATTATATTTTGGTCGGGAGGCGTCTCTACGAGCCCCTTCCCTGAGCATGTCACTGTAGGGAGGTGAACTAAAACTGCTCAGACGCACTCCAGCCATAAGGAAATCCGTATTCTATGCACCAATCACTTGTCAATGGTTTCATCAACCAGACTCATCCTTCAAGGATTGAAAAGGCGAGAGAATCCACGCATAAATTGGCAAGGGGCTTGTTCCGTACCCTCCAATTGCCCGAATCGGTTTTGAGCAAGTGACTCACCTCGTGTTTCGGCATCGGAAGACATGCCTCCAGCAAGAGGTCCACCACGTCTAGCATGCCACCTGTCAAGGGCGTGCTCAGAAGCTTTCCCCTTTAAACCAACTTGAAAAGGGTGCCCTCAAGAAGCACATACACACTCATGTGGGTAGGATTTTTGGGAAACCTTTGGTCGACATGCTTTAGCCGTGGTCGGTGCACATCCATTTGTGTTGCTCGGAGGAAAAACGTTCAAATTGGCCATCTGCTTGCCATGTTTCCTGCTGGAAAGCTTGATATGGCTCTCTTAGCCATAGCCACACTACTCATCCTCACGGAGTGTTGGCAGGGAGTTGTTCAAAGGAGCTAGCGATTGGATACGACAGCAGAGCACCACGAGAAATCACAGGGAGCATGAGGCGTCTGTGGTGACACAAGTTGACAGTTGTTGCACAGGGTTACTCACATCTCAGCTTCGGCAAGCGTCCATGATGGACGACTTAAGTGAAGTGGAACATCACTTTTTGAGGTCAATTCCTCATGGGAACCTGTGGAAGAAAAAAACACCTGATTGATTCATAGGGCCGCAGGACCTTCACTTTGTCCCCCTGTTTCAAAACGGGTTCGTCATCCGTTTTTTCCGACAAAAAAACAGTGGCCCACTGGCAAAGCTGTAAATGTGCAACCAACTTAGCTCCAAAAAGCAACAAATCTGCGACAATGACGGAAGCATGTCAACAAAACCCAAGCGAGTCAAACGACTGTGGAAGGACGAAATCCTGCTCCACTTTGGGTTGAAACCAAAGTATATGTTGGTATTTACAGCGGAATCGAATCATTCCATGGTTTCTGAGGCGGTGCAGGATTTTGTCCATCCACTGTAGGACTACCACACAAACGTCAAAACGCTGGCACGATGCAACCGAAAGCCATTGGTCCTGCCAAAAGGAATCGGAAGAATGCCTGGCGTTGTTTCTCAGAGGCTGGGAGAAAAGAAAGCCTCAAAGTGCACCAAATGGTGCTGGAAGACTCCAGTCTGTTCACGATCCACCAAATTGATTTCCCCTTGTTTCCTTGACACATGATTTCCTGGTTCTCTGACAAAAACAAACATGGGAATCAGAATGTCCAGCAGTCCAGCGGTCAAATCAATGCGCACCACAAGTGGGTCATGTGTTGTCACTCATTGCGGGGGAGATAATGAAGGTGGGAGGGCGTATCGTTGGCTGCAAAATCCCTGCTAAGACGTGCATGATTGCAGTAGTCTGATCGCTTCCCACAAAGCTTTGGCTGCGTGCAATGAGTGAATTTCTTCCCCTCAACGTTCAAGGTCCACAAGGGTACAGAAGTGAGACCTCCCTTCTGCTCGTACATTTAGACATTTAGAAGCGCAAACTCACCAGAAACCATTTGGGGACTGGGCAGAACTCAAAGAGCCCGAGTTAGTGAGTCAGGGGCAGCCACGGACACAGGTGCAACAGGTATCTCTACACAACATTTAAGAGTTCCCCAATGGTGGACTCCACCACTTATTGGCCTCTTTGCGCACTTCTTTTGGCAACAACTTCCACAGGTTGCCACAATGTGACAAGCTCCAACCAATCCTTTAGGTACCTGATGAAATTGGAAATTGAGAGGAACTCATGGGTGGCTTCCCTTTCTTGCACTGCCCCAAACTCAAGCATCTCATTCTGTCCTGTGCTTGTCAAGGCCCCCCACCTCAATAGCCCCAACAAGCGCACCCAATCCCAACAGGGGCTAATAGTGACCAATAAGGCCTGTTGGAAACTAATGGGGTTCTTTTGCGGTCGCTTCTTGAGGACCCCTGATGTTTTATTTCCCCGCGTGTCGCACAGGGTACATAACTTGCTGATGCATTCTCTCGTTCCAATGCCAAATCCCAAATCCCGCTTAGCCCTTCCTGATACCGCGAAAAGGGGGGTTTTGGGATTTACTCATATGGGCATGACTTTCTATTAGAGACCTTTGGTGGACATCAATAATTGGTGGGTCCCGATTTATGTCCACCAACCAAGATGCTGTGACTTGCATTTGCGTAAGTCCACTGGGGAACCAGCCCAGTGATAGATTCCCTTTCAGGAAAATAGACACATATATATATATTTATAAGCACATGGAAGGTGACAACCATGGGATTCGGCTCCCGTCGTTCCACCCGTCGTTCCGCCCGTCTGCGGGCTGGGCCGCGTCGTGCGGCGATGCTCAGCGGCGTGTCGCCCCGGGGCCCGTCGCAGTCCGGGCGCTGACCTGCGGCCAGCACCGCCTCCACGGCCTGCGGGCGTCCGCAGTTTCCTTTGGGCGGGGTTCCTTCTAGTTGGAACACTGAGAGGTCTTATGAGGTGGGGACAAACCCAGTTTCATTCCCATCACCCTGGGGCAACAAGCCCTGTAAACAATCCAGCTGGTGGCTTCCTTTCTTCGGGGATCCCCCTTCAGTTCATTCAAACACCCGGACCGTTGTCTACTTACTTCTTATCGCACCAGCAAGCCAAGAGGCAAGGAGCCAAGAATCATCTAAGAAGGAGCGGATTTTCGGATAAGCCGTAGCGAGCGCCAAACAAACAGAACATGCAGCACGCTGACCAGCACCAGAACCTGGTAAGAACCCCTGTAGCTAAAGCTATCTGGATTATCGTTTTTTGTTTTTTTTTGCCATTTTCAAGATTGCCCTTTTGTGGCCACCCCTTCACTTGCCGAGTGCTCTTCTTCTCGACGGTGCCTTTGCGCGAGTAGACCGCACTGCTTCCAGGAGATTCCGCTCCAAGGTGTCAACACAGGACCAAGGCGTCTGCAGCGCAGTGATGCACCTGACCCAAACCGCCAAAATCGACTTGGAACTTGGAGTCCAGGATGTGTTTGCCAACTGGCTGTGGCTAGAAAAACCGGTACCCAACATGGAACCCTGGTAAGTGGAAACATGGACCCAAACCTGCGTAACCCCTCCTGTGTAACTTTGAGCCACACAGAAATGACCGTAACTCTTCCCCGTAGTGGGACATATCATTACTCTTTTGGTGGCTTTCCAACTGGTCATCCCATAAAAATGGATTCCAGGATGGTGCGATAGGTAGGGAATGAGAAATGGAATGAACTGGAAGGGGATTCCCGAATAAAGGAAACCACCAGTTGGATGGTTTATAAGGGCCATTCCCTCATTCCCTAGTGAGTAGCAAGAGAATCGCAGGCCCAGAACATCATGCTGGACGCTCTTTGTCTTTGCCCCGAATGCGAGTCAAAACCGAATGCATTTACCTGCTTCTCCCAGTTCAGGAGGGCCTTGACGTCTTGGAGCCAAAAAGGAGATACGCCTTCGTGTCATTTCAAAGGCGAGCACGAGAACGAGGAATTTCACAAATGTTGGTCTTCCTTTCGGCCACACCGACCAACAGGGCCTCACCAACCAAAAGGTGACTCTCGAAAAAAAGAAGAAAAAAAGACCAGCCCACATGCAGTGCGTTGCATGCGGGTCGCGGCTTGCCCAGCTCCTCCCAAGTCTTCTCCAGAGGCAACGTCTCGCTATCCTGATTCGCGCGTTCACAATTTCTCGTGCTATTCACATAAGAGTCTTAATTCAGGCCATGACTATCTTAAACTCCCGAAACAGGATTAACACTGTGCTGACCATGGCTAGGAATCATGGAAACCAGCCACAGGAATGTCTGCGGGAAATTGCCAAATACCGACCAAAGACCAGGTTTCAATATCCAGCTGGTTTCTTAGATGGTTGTCAAATAGGGGTTAATCAAAAGGTCCTTTCCATGTGATGACCATTGGGGAAACCACAAAAAATATATGTCCCAGAAAGGGGAAAAGTTACCCATGTTCATTTGGGGGGCTGAAGGGAATATAGATCAACCGATTCGCCTGCCCCGACAAGGGCAACTACTTTGACGTGACCATTGGGCAACAGCATTGGCAGGCACCCATTAGGACATCATTTGGGCGGGATTGATGTCTACCAACTCTGATTTAAGACTTCTCATGTTGCAAACACTACTGTTGAGGTCCCCAATTAAAATCCATCGCCACTTCGTCCGCCCCCTTCAACCGGGTCCACTAAAGTGACATTCTCAAACTTACCCCCAGAATGGCAGTCTGAACAAAAGCCAAGAGCAATTCTTTGGGTCCTTCTCAAAGTTTCCCTCAAAATGAAGGAAGCCAGCAAGAGTCATTTGAAGACAGGTCATTCTCAAAATTACCCTCTCTAAATGGTATAGTCTCAAGGAAAACCAGAGACGCCCTCCAAATCTTCTCTTTCAGCCCAAAGGACCTGGAAATCAACAAAAACAAACGCCTTTCGGGGCCAACTAAAAGTGAACCATGGGAAACCCAAAAGGTTTCCAAGACCGATTCGCTTCGGACAACCAAGCTTCACTTGGGACGTCAAGCCCCAGGGCTGTCGGAAATGACCACTTCTGTGATACTTCCCAAAGACTAACCCTCCATTTTCCAAGGGGGAGATCTCCAAAAGCATCACAGAATTGGGGGATAAACCCGTGATCAACCATAATTTTGATTAGACGAGTTTTCCAAAGGCACCTTCATGCACTGACATTCTCGAATTCGTGGATCTTCTCTACTGAGCAGGTTATAAACTCTCTTAACCCCGTACCTCCTGCTTAGCAGAACCGAGCAGCTTAGAACCCAATATTTACCCAATGAAACCCATGCCGCCTCTCCGACGCATCGAAACGGCTTCGCCGCTTCGCCTGCAGCAGCCGCAGCGCGAAGCTGGGGCGCTGCAACCGCTGCGCCAGGCGCCGGCGCAGCTCACAGAGCGGCAGCTCCGAGGCCTTCTGGAACACCAACTCGCGGCCTGATGGATGGATTTGTCTGACTCGCGGCCAGTATACACTATAGATATAGAATATATATATATATATATACATATATATATATATATGTATACTAGGTCCTCCAGATTTGAGAGGTTAGAATGAGTTGGTACCCGATTTTTTTCCTGTAGTCTATTTTAGTAGGCGAACCCCCAGAAAAGAAAGGGTAAAAGGGCACTGCTGGGGGACCTAGGATAGGTAGCCTCTCTCCCACGAGGATGGACGTTGGACATTGGGCAAGAATAGGGGAACCCCAAAAGGGGATAACCCCAAAATGGATTGAAGTAAATGGAAAGGACGAAAACCTGACCAGCCCTGGTTGACAGCTTTTGCCTTTTTCTTGGGTCGGGCGTGGTTGTCAAAAATAGGTAGCAACGCTCCCACTGGCACCTGGAAGGGGATCCCTTGAAGAGAAAGATGAACTTCCAGGTACCCTCCCACAAGTGCTATGCTCGTGGGAGGAAGGCTGTCCAATATGGGTTGCGCTGGTGAATGGAAAAGACTCCCCTCAGCCATCCCCTTAGGTAAACCAAACTTTTAGCGGGGGATCTGAGGACAGTCCAGGTGTGCTGTGGTTTCAAAGGGGGAAACTACATGGGGAACCACCATTTGAGGGCCCCGATTCCCAACAAACATGCACGTCTAGGTATGGGTCAAACTCCTTCACCAAAAACCACTAAGACATGGGTACCCCGCACAGAAAGACAGACCCGCTTGGATTAGATGGGTTTTCCAAGTAAGGCGCCTTCATGAACATCCCTGACATTTTGGGGTTCGGGGATCCCCTTCGGGTAGGTGCCCTCACGAAGAGACACACCCATGAACAGGTATAGTACCTTCCGTGCTTTTTGTATGGCAATCCTGGGACGGGGCGCGCCAACAATCATGCGTTCAGAGTCTGCTAAGTGACGTTTGTATACGGGTTCGTCATGTCTGAAGAAGTATTCACAACAGCCACGGAGTGAAAAGTTATTCCTCCTGAAGTATTTAGTCAAACCCATGCAATACTATTGAACCCCCCAAGAATGGCTATGATACCTTCCGATTCCCGTGGTCACATAACATGGAACCAAAGACGGTCGCCAAAAAGATGATTCCTCTCAGACGATCCACTTGCAATCCTCAGTCCAACCGGAGTGGACTGGGGCTCGTGTCAAGACTTCCACAGCCCTTCGGCCAGCTTCCATTGAAACGCGAGTAACCCAACCATTTCTTTGGGGTCCCAAGCAAAGCACTAGGTAATCATATGGCTTAAGAGATAGCCCCATGAATGTCTCTTGGGGAAACCGGGAAACCAGCGTCTCACTAAAGTGGGGGTTTCATCCGCTTCGAGGGAGCCCGACATCTTTTTGCTTGGCAACCTAAATAACTCTCCCAGTTTGTAACTCGCACGTATCTTGAGTTGCAAACTTTTGTAGCTAAACCATATGGGTGTGGGTCGAAAAATGGGTGGCCAGAAAGGAACCCCGCAATGTGAAACCAAGCACTAAAACCTGCGGTCCCCTGATGGCTTAATTTTGACCCATACCCATATCTTGTTTTGGTAACCTGGTCCATTGGCCGAATCTTCAGATCTGCATACATTTGGGGGAAGCCAGTTCCCACCCTGGAAAAGTTGGTTCACGTGGTTTCCATCCAGTGGAGCCCATGCGCAGCCAAATCTTGGTTGCAGCCATTCGCCAGCTTGTTCACTCGCTATGACTGAAACTGTTAGATCACCATTATTTAGACTCAGCTACAAAGCCAACAATTGGCTTTGTAGCAATAATTGGTGTCTTTGACTTGGGTTGCTCACCCAACCGCTGATACTCCCCCTGCACCAGCCACTGACATTTTAGTGGCAGTTTGTGCAAAACGACCCACTCTTAACAGTGGTGCACAACCTTGTGGTTGACACTCAAAGGGTTCAAACATCCTATGATTCCACTACCTATGCTTTGAAAGATGGAATTTAAGAGCTATTCTTCGGAAGTACGGTTTAAGAGGAACACTGAAATTGATGTACTGCCTTCTGGCCCTGCCTGACAGGAGGCTCACAGTGACCTCCATGGCTAGAGCTGCCCAAAGGCTCCGTTCATGTTTGACGCTTCGGTTTTGCTGCAAAAGTTTTGGGAAAGTGGTCTGGCGACTCAACAGCTGCGGAACTGCCCAAGATGCGCTGCTCTGAGGTGCGTGTAGCTTCGAAATACAGCCACCCTTGTGCCAACCTATGCTCGGGATTTCTTCAACTCGAAGAGCTTCGTATATCCCACCAAAAGAAGCTTCCTTTTGAAGCTTCCTTTCGAGTTGGCGCAAAAAGTGGTGAAAACAAGCAAAAGGGGAACTATAAGGACTCCCCTCGTCTGTGCCCTCGCACTACTTCCCTACTTGGCCAAGCATCGCTGGCATCCGCCATGAGCCATCAAACGCGCGGCGCTTGTATCATCCAAGATCAAGGTTTGACGCAGGAGACAGGCAGATGTTGCATTTTTTTGCAAGACACTCTTTGCCCTCTGTCTTTTGTAGGGGACCCTTCAAAACTGTTGCTCTCCTTTCTGTTTCCCGTTAAAGCACCCCCCAAAAAGGTGCTCGTGTTTACATGGAGGAAAACACACATGCCACCTATGGTACCATTATGGACGTCAAAAGCTGCCTGGAACTGATTGAGATGAGGCTTGCAGCAATCAGCGCGGGATTGGCACAGTATCTCCAACATGTAGATCTATTGGTTCCAATGCTCCAATGGAGCGTCTTTTTAAAAAGGTGTCCGGTCGCAAACGGTGCGGAGGGTCCCGTGGTGGCAGGTCCCGTGTTCGATGCCCCCGTAACGGGCGTTTAAAACGGCGAGTGAAGGTAACCTTCTGAACGGCTAGCCTCACATACGTAGTGCCGCTTTTGCCTGTGCCGCTGTTGAGCAGCTGTCCAAAACATGTTGCACCAAAAAGACTAGACTTCGCAATGACAGGGAGGTACCTTGCGCACGCCTTTCCTGACGGGGACAGTAGACAATGCCATTTGTGTTCCGACTAAAGACACGTTTGATTTACGAGCGCTGGTCTCTGCGTGCGGAAGCAAGATCAAAACGCGGCTGCGGGCTCTTGGGATGTGAACAGCTCTCAGTCCAGCTCGTTCTCATTGGCACTTGAACAACTGGGATGGCAACACGCACAACTCACACCATGGCCTCCAATTTGCTCAGGGCACCAAGCGGCTTCTACAAATGCATAAATATGTTTACCAATGATGAACCTTCCCCTTCAAGTGGGATAAGCAACACACATCTTTGAGAGACGACTATGTGTTCAACGTACTAGGGCTCACCCACATTGACTTCATGGCTGGATAATACACATGCTTGTTTCCGAGAGTCCGTTTACTTGCGGCTGCCAAGTGCTCGGAAACCATACTTGGAAGATAACCCTTTCTCGCTTTAGCTTCCAAAACGGTTGTTCTTATTGCTGGGTGCAGACACGGGAGAATCTCCTCCAGCGGGTCCAAAGGTTGAAGATGACCCAAAGGTACAAGAAGTATGATGGCTCGCCATAGGAACTTGGACCCAACCATTGTCTGGTTTTCCCTTCGACTTCCCCTTTAGAAGCCACCCTTTGGGGATTATTCATACCCTACACGAAAGATGCTGTGAAGCTCCGAGTCTTGCCTCAGGCTCGGCATCAGGCTCCTGGCGCGAGAAGGTGCCAGTAACCCAATCAGATACCTCCATTTGCTGGTTCGTCCCCTGGAAAAAAAGAGTAGTGAAATCGATTCCCTTTAAAACAAGGGGAACATAAAACATATTCCTTTCAGCAAATGGAAGGATACTAACCCACAGCGGAACAAAGTCAAACCAGGGAACCTTTTGGGGACTGAAAGGAGGTGACCAATATCAATATGTAGCAAGCCGGGCCCTATGGGACTCGGGTAAAGGAGGCCGGCAATGTGAATGGACCTTGGCTCTCGTTTTGTGAGGGAATGGCCGATTGTTTGTAGCAGGCGCTCAGTCTAGTGCGAAAACCACACCAAACTTGCCTACCTCCTCACCCAAATCATCGAAATGCTTGCCGCTGCGTGTCGGCATCCAGTATAAAGGTACCCACGCAGGAGAATTAAGCTGTGCTAGTCGTGAAAACACGAATAGAAGGCAACCGCAGCTGCCAGACATGCTGTGCAAAGAGCAGTCGAGCAAAGGTTCTTTCGCAGTACCACAAGATGTTTAATTGGCTCGAAATACAGGTCTGCGCGTTTTCGGGTGACAAGTCAGCTTGAATAAGCTGCAAGAACCTTGTGAAGACTCCTTACTGACCTACTAGAAGCCTAGCATTGTTAAGCATATGAGTGTTTCTTGTTTGTAGGGGGACTATTTGGCCTGCTAGAAGCCCCTGCGACCCCTAAAATTGTGATTTCCTTTGGGCCTGCTTTAAACCCGCCAGAAAAGTCTTTGGAACCTTGGATTCACCTTCTTGGGCAACCCAACCAACAGAAAGGGATTTGCAGGGTCGAATGCACTGGTAGTTCATAGACTGGCTTCAACAACAGGACTTGGAATCCGGGGTAGACCAGTCGGGAAGCCACCAAACAAGAGCTGGCCTTATTATTTTACCAATGTGAATTACCAAGTGCTGGCTGAAAAATGGAAAAACAAACACAATTATCACCAGAAACAGCACTAAATCCGTTTCCCTTCGGTCAGTTATTTGCCTGTTTCTGGTGGCTAGTTACCATCTGACTTTGATAACCACCAGAAACAGTCAAATCACTGCCCGAAGGGAAACGGATTTGGTGCCACTGAACTGGGGCAACTGTTGGGCCGCCACTTCCATGCCTTGCGTTGGACGTACCGAGGGTTCCCCATGCTGTCCACCTGAGCCAGTCAATTGCGTCTAGTCATCTGGGACATTTGCAGTACGTAGCCTCCCCATGTTCTGCTTGAGAATTTGACAAGTGTCCCATGACATGGGCAATATGGTAAGCCCCCATGTGTTCTATGTGCCATGCAAATCTCTTCCTCAGTCGCCCAAAGGACCCAGAAATAAAAGGTTAACCTTTTGGGGCCTTTACTAAAGATAGACCAAAATTCCAAAACCAAAAGGTTAAAAGGTCGGCTTTGGGCAACTGAGCTTCACTACCATGTAGCAAGAATAAGGCAAATATTGACCGCTGCTCCCCTGAGAACTATGCTGATGGCAAACTGATCTTCCATGTGCTTTTTCTCCCCCTGGAAAGAATGGCGAAATATGTCCAGTAGTGAAATCGATTCCCGTTAACACCAGGGAAACTCATCAACACAAATCCTTTTAGCACATGGACATGATCTGTGGATACCTCTGATGATGCTTCCCTCAGCTCGTTCTGGGCACCAGCTCGGCATATTGGGAATTCGGCGACCGTCCTCGCACAATTCTGGCTGGTGCGATAGGTAGCTGAGATGCCCAGTGGCCATGGGCGAAAAAGGGCATCCCTTTTTGGCTGGTTGAGCTTAAGTCCTCCCCAGAAAAAAAGGAAAAAAGGGCACCACTGAGCAACTGAGGTAGGGAATGAGAAATGGAATGTCCCGAATAAAGGAACATATATAGTGGATGGTGTGTAGGGGTTGTTGCCTCACCTGCTGAGCACCAGCAAAAGTATTGCGGATCCTGAGCGGATTGGCTCAAAGAAAATCTGATTGGTTGCGCCAAGTTGATAGTCCGAGACATACTACACTGGGCACAAGTTATGAGGACAAGAGCTTCTGCAACACATGCAATGATAAAATACCAACCCAGGCTTTCTACCATGCAGGCTAGTTTCACGGGTCATTTACATGGCCAAACCGGTCATATTACATTAATTACCTGATGCAAAGCTCGCTATCCGAGGGCGGCACCAGCATGAAGTTCACGTAGATGGCGAAGTGGTCTACCATCATACGAGGCTTCACCTCAAAGTAATGCTGCCAAGCTTGTGGCGACATAGGATATGGAATCCCTGAAATAGTGAGGTTACCATTGTTTTACAAACAGGTGGTGGAATGTAGTGGAAAGCAAAACAACATCGCTGAATGAACGTGCAACTCAGACTATGCAACCACGCAAACTGTGAACTGAAGCCACACGCCAGGTGTTGCCTGTGTCTCTTGACGTGCTGCTGACCACTATACCAGTGGGCTGCAAAGGCTAGGTAGAAGGGAAACAGGAACCATTCATCCGCACAATGGGCATGGTCAAGCTACATCTTTCAATTAGTTAGTTTTAAAGATAGTCAATCTTCTGCGCCTGCATCAGTTCGCTGAGAAAGATACAACAATATTCAATAGCACTTCATCCATCAAACAACCTCACAAAAACATACTATGACAGCTTATATGCAACGTTCTGGAAGCAGCGACTATCCTCGTGGTAGGGATGATAGAAGCCTGCAGTGCAAGCAAAGCAAGGTTTGGCCTGAGGAAATTTGTATGAGCAATTTTGCCGGACTCCCTCCCTGAGAATTCCTGAGTGCTAGGGCAAGAGGGGTTCCACTATCACATGTTTGGGAGACACCAATAAGCAAGCCCTAAGGACATGCAACGAATATCTGGTTACATTGGGAAACATGCTCGGTTGCATATCAGGAATCCCTCGCACGTCCCTAAACTTGCTGGTGCTCAGCAGGGAATGAGGGAATGCCCCCTATAAACCATCCTCTATGGTTTCCTTTAAGGGAATATCCAGGTTCATTGCCTCATTCCCTGCTGAGCACCAGCAAGAAAATGTCCAAGACCAAACTGCCTCCTTCAACTGTCATGTTTGACGTCGATGCAGCAAGCTGTCACGGATTCTGTCGAGTACTGGGCTTTGCGTTGTGTTTTCACAGAGGAACCCCAAAATCATGGAAAGAACCCCCTAAACGTTACCCTCGAAAACAACGCACATATCCCACAAACGGGCACGCACAATGATGTTGGTCCCATATTATTCAACCCTTGTTTTTTTGGGTGTGTGTGTGTGTGTGCGTGTGTCCCTGGATTGAGTGGCGAATCATGACTTTTGAAGGGGAACAGCCCCCATTAAGAAACTGCGGTTGATTAATATGGGGTCAACATTACCTGATGGAGAAAATTCAAATATTGTTCGCAACGACCGCATTTTGCGGC